TCTCCCTTCCAGCCCTGGGATTTACTAATGATCTCCCATCCAAGGACTAACCAGGCCTGATCCTGGTTAGTTTTTTTTTTTTAAAAAAAAGGTGAGGTCAGCCAAGGTTGCAGGGTGCTGCCTCCTGCTGCGGCATTGACTTGTAAACCTGGAGTAAAACAGGCCTTTGACGGGATAGGGGACTGCGCGTGAGGTGGCCGGGGGTGGGCACAAGCTCAGGTTATTCCTGATAGGAGCCATTTGGATGAAGCCAGGGGGGGCACGGGGGGAGGCCCAAAGGACACGAGGATTACCTGCCTGGAGCCTTGGAATCCCAGAAGAAAGACGGCATTATGACATTGTGGCATTCCAACCAATAGGCACGGAGCCCCTGCGGAAAGAGAGGGTCTCAGGTGGGACTCTTCCTACCTCGGCGGAAAGAGGCGATTAAGCTGCCAGAGCCATTACAGAATTGGGCCGCCTTCTAAATTTTATTAATAATTTATTATTATAAATAATAAGGATGGTGTTGCTTTTCAGCTCAGGTTGACCTTTTCCTGTAACATGTTGCAAAATTAAAGAGATTCTTCATTTAATAGGATGTTATGTTGCAGGAAACCATTAAAGTAATTGGTCCATTTGTACCAAAAAAGGAGTGAAAAATGAACAGATCTGAGGAAGCGCCAGAACTCTTTGGAGATTTTTGAACCTTACAGTCAAGAATGCAAGAGTCAAGATTCACACAGGTTGAGACCTGCAGGAAGTGAGGGTGAGGTTACAGAAACATGGCACCTGGCTAGGTGGCCCTTGGCCCTTGTTTATCAGCGAGCACGTGAAGGTGGGCCTCCCTATCACCACTGGCCTTTTAGAAAAGGGCCATGATTTAATGGGGGAATGCCAATTGCTGATTTGATAGCACCTGTTCTGCTACATTTTGGAAATGGCCAGGGTCAGAGTTTTCTATCAAATTGACAGCCCCTTATTGCAATTACAGGTAGTCCTTATTTAGTGATCACAATTGGGACCAGCAACTCGTTGGTTAAGCAAAGCAGTTGCTAAGTGAAAACATGATTGTGCTTATGATCTTACTTCAGCCGTCCTTTGCTTTAAAGACCTGTGAAGGTCGGAAATGCAAAGATTGGTCATAAAGTTACTTTTTCATCACCATCGTAACTGTGAATGGTTGCTAAATGAGGCAGTCACAAAACGAGGACTACCCGTACTATATGTTTTGCTTTCTGTGATTATATTTATTTGCATGAGATGACCAGTGAAAACTACAACCTAAAAGCTACTCCCTGAAAAGGCTGCAATCCTGAACATTAGGGTATTAGCCCTATTGAAGTAAAGGGGCTTCCTTCTGAATAAGCACACACAGCAGTAGGAATGCTAAAAAGGTGAGTATAATTTACTGAAACTACTGTTTTTGCCCCAGTTCTTTTTTTAAAATGTTGTTTCCAGCTGAATTTCCAACAACACAAAGAACATTTTTTCCCTTTTATTTTTGTGAATGTGTATCGTTATAGGTTTTAATTGTATATTTATTTATTGTTATTTATTGTTTTATTTAACGTGTTGTGAGCTGCCCAGAGTCCCCCATTCGGGGGAGATGGGCGGGGAACCAATTTAATAAACAAACAAACAAACAAACATCTGATTAACAGTGATGGCTGGGACATACTGTCATAGAAGGGTAGTATTTTAAGACCAGAAGAGTCGCTCGCGAGCGAAGGGGAGAACTGGGAAACTAAGTGGGCAGCAGAAAGAGTCAGGGCAACTTGCGGGTTCGTCGCGGGGCGGAGGGTGCCGGGCAAGGGCCTCCCGGGGGCACCCCCGTCGGGCTTGCGAAGGAGAAGAGAGTTCGAGCGGCCCGGCTTCCCGAGGGGGCACCGCGCGCCTTCCCTCCCGCGGTGCAGCGTCTCCGGCGGCCGCCTTTGGGCTCCCCGGCGCGCGAGGCCGTTGCGAGGCCGCGGCGTTGCTGATTTTACCCTCGTTCCTGAAGGCGCAGCGGGAGCGGCGCACGAGCAATCCTCAGTCCTCCGCAGTCGCCCTCCCGCATCGCACGGGGCGTCAGCCGGAGGGGAGGGAGAAACTCTGAGGCTCTGCCACTCAAACCGGGCGCCGCCGCCGGGGCCCCTCTGCCAAGCGAGTCCGCGGTGA